AGGCACTAAGCTACCAGAGCTCCTCACAATTCCCCTATGAGGTATTAATTATTATTAATCCTATTTATCAGATGTTAGGTGTGAGAGTTTAGGTCATTTGACTGAGGCATGTTGCAGAGCTTGTATTTGGACTTAGGTGAATTGTGAGCCCACTTTTATCACTGCTATCACAAAATTTCTTAGTAATTTCATCCAAGATAAATTAAACAAACACATCAAACATACACAAAATGTAAGAAGAGAGGAACTCCTGGATTATGAATGGAAATTTATTCATTTGACAAAAAAAAAAAAAGTAGGTAATGAGTCCTCTTTCTCCAAAGCAGAAAGGATCATGGACACTTAGATCCACAGCCAGATGGCCCTCTCCTTGCCCAGAAGAGCACCATAACCTGTATTTGGTGACACACTGTCCCCACCTCCTAGACTGGCAGAAGCACCATCCATGATTGGGTGCCATAATAACCGCAAGCTCCTCGGTCAGCACGAACACCAACTGAGTGTGCCATACCCCTTTGTTTTCTGCAGTCATTCCCCCATCCCCTTTTTTTTTTTTTTAAATTGATTTGGTTTCTTTCCTTTTCTCCTTATTTCTATTCCCTCACTTTTCTTTAGGTATCTTATTTTATTCTTTTGGTTATTCCTCTATTTTTTTTGCCTCCCTAGATTTTCTTCTTCTCTTTTTTAGCTTTTCTTATTTTTCTTTTATTATTATTGTAAGCTTCTTCTTTTTCTGGTATGTATGTGTGTGTGTATATATGTATGTTTTTGGTCCCACCTGGCAGGAGACAGTAACTATGTTCATACTATCCAGCCACACCTGTACGCCCTGCAGCCCAAACCACAAGTAAGTGCCACCAATCACTCCTGCACCACCTGACTGATGACAGATGGAAGCCAGCACAACTCCAACCAGCCCACAATTGCTCTACACAAATAGTGAACAGTAAACTACACATACACACTCATCTTTGATCATACCCACCAAAAGACAAGTGGTGAGCGCCTAAGTGTTGCTAAACTAGCAAGAAGAGTAGCATGCCTGCCTTGCTGTCTCAGATATATCCAAATAAAATGTGTTAGGTTGGGTTCTCTAGAGAAGCAAAATGAGAAAAACTCATATATATATATATATATATATATATATATATATATATCCAGAGAAGGAAATTTAACTTAGGAAAATGGCTCACACACTTATAGAAGCTGACAAGTCCAAAGTTCTTGGATCAAACGTCAAGTTGGAGGCTTTTCCCAACTCACTCAGCTTCAGGGGCTGACAAGCTCAAGGTTGGCAGGCAGTATACTGGATGTTGACTTCAATGAATGACTAATCCAAGATCTCCAGGCCAAATGGTGGTTTTTCGCTCACAGTTAGTTCTAGGCCACACAACAAAATCCTGATCCACAGAAGAGTGTCTCTTTTCTCAGGTGTCCATAAATATATTGAAAGCAGGCCACACCCCTAGGAAAACTCCCTTTCAATAGATTGTCTGCTCAAAACATATACATCTGATTGCATCATGGGAGTAACCCACATCATAACTGCTTAAACCACACAGAATTGTTGTCCAACCAAGTTGATACACAGCTCCAACTATCACATAAAATAAATGAATAAGATAACATATAGCAAAAAACAAGAAAACCCGGGTGAAACACACCAACATACAACAATCACTTAAATACAACACTAGCACAATGTCTCACAGACAACAGTTCATACAAAGAAACAAGAAAGGTGGCTGAAACAAGTGAACAAAACACAGATCCAGAAAACTTTCCTGAGGAAGAAATGGCATTGGAACTATCTCATAAAGAATTCAAAAGAATTATATTTAGGTATCTTCAATGAATTGAGAGAAAGATCAAGGAATAAAACAGACAAAATCAGGCAAAGCATATTAATTCTAGAAAAAGAAAAATAATATAAGAAAAAGCTGACAAAATAAATGGAAAACTAGAAACCATACAAAAACAGCAAATAAAAATTCAGAAGATTAATACTAAATACATAACACATTAAAAGGGTAAAGTAGTAAAATTGAATCAATGGAACAAATAATTAGCAAATTTGAAGACAAAACTCTCAATATAAATCTGTAAGAGGCACAGTAAGGAAAAAAAGAAAAACAATAAAACAAAACAAAACAAAAAAAGAAAGCCAAAAAATTATGTAGTACAACATCAAGAGGAATAATTTGCACATTATTGGTATTCAAGAACAGGAACAAAACACAAGCAAAAAAAAAAAAAAAAACCTGAGAGGAATTGTCAAAAGATTTGTTGGAAGAAACTCCCCTAATATCATGAAAGATGAAAAGATATGTATTAAAGAAGCTCAATACACCTCAAACAGGAAAAATTCTAAAAGAAAATCACCAAGACATGTCATATTAAAACTTCTCAAAAATAAAGATGAAGAAAAAATCCTGAAAGCATCTCATGAAAAATGAAAAGCTACTGTGGTAGTTATGTTTGTGTGTCAACTTGGCTGGGCTTGGTTGAGTGGCTGGGCAGCTGGCGGTAGTTATTCCCCATGATGAGACTGGCAATCAACTCCATGGTGGGATCTACCACAAGCATCTTTTGGGATGTGGTCTGCTTCCTGTATATAAGGAGAAGCCACGGAAATGGTTTCTAGCTTATGGCACCTTGAAACCTGCATGTAGCTGTGTCATTGTTCACAGCCTGCCATGCTCTGCCGACCTTGGGAGTTACAATGGACTTGAATTAATGGCTTGCTGTGTGATTTAGTAATATCGGGACTGTGCCTTGTTACTTGTCAACCTTGGCCTTGTTAGTCTCAGCAGCCAGCAGCTGTCTGAGTAAAGAAAAGGCTCTAGCTTTAGTGGGCCGGGAGCTGGAGACAGAGCTGAAGCCCAAGGCTGTGGTGCTTTCACCTAGCCCCTAGATCTTGGCACTTTGAACTTGGACTTAAAGCCCCCAAATTGTAAGAATAAACTCCTGTTTGTTAAGGCCATCCCATTTGTGGTATATTCTTGTCAGAACAACACTAGGTAACCACAACAGCCCCCAACAAAGGAGAACCAATAAGATGAATCTCTGAAATCTTGGCAGAAACCACGCAGGCAGGAAGGCAATGGGATTATATATAAAAAAACCTTGACAAGATAAAACTGTTAACCAAGAATTATATACCCAGCAAAATGGTCCCTCAAATACAGGATTAGGACATTTCCAGATACACAGAAATAAAATGCATTTGTAAAATCCAGATGAACCTTAAAAGAAATGCTTAAGAGAGTTCTTCAGACAAGAAGCAACAGCAGCAGACAACAATTAGAGATTAACACACAAGTCACCATCAGCCAGAAATCAGCCAGAAACCCACACACTGCAGTATCCAAAATAAAATAAACCTACAACACCAAAAGTAGGAAACTAGAAGTATCAATTTATAAACAACAATTACAAAGTAAAAAAGAAGGAACAAGTAGTACAGTTATAGACCTTACAAATGTAGAGGAAGATTACAATTTCAAGATAGAAAAGATAGTTTTAAATTTAGGAAGATAATAATGAATTATAGAGTAACTACAAAGAAAATTACTAAACCTCATGAAAGCAAAAGAGAGGAAAAACATAAAGCCTTAGTAAACAACAAAACCAGAGGACACCAAGAAGACAGATTGAAAGGATGGCAAACTAAAAGTCAGACTAGTAAGAAGGACATGGCCAGATCTACTTCTGGGAGTGGGGTAGGGAAGGCCACTGAAAATCTTATGAAGAGCAGGGAAACAATATCTGACATAGTGCTGAAAGATGAGCTCTTCAAGTTGGAAGGCATTCAAAATATGAATAGGAAGGGCTGCTTCCTCAAAGAATGAACCTTAATGACTTGGATGGAATATAGCTTTACA